ATATGCTGAGCTGGACTGAGAAATGGTTGAAGGTGATAGGCCAGTGCTTCCAAATCTTTTGCCACAGTGAGTATGTTAAAGTTTTAACATAGTTGGTAACCCCTCGGGGAGGGTTTACAAAATCTGCCTCAATAAGTGGGGCCTGTCTGTTAATCCAGGACACAGTTGTTAAGAATGAGTCAGAGCCCCATGATGCCCATTGGTGGTTCAGACTCTTATCCCAGGCAGAAAAATTAGTTATGATTGGATTTGGATATATGAAAACCAGTCACCAACATTGACCCACAGAGATTGGTGTTGGGGGCCTTTGCTGTTTATTATTTTAATAATCTAGATCAGGGCTTCCCAAAGTGTAAGGGGAGGGGGGTTCAGGACCCCAAGTGGGGTTGTGAGCTCTGTGGAAGTCTGACCTTACAGCCTTAACACCCCCCACCCCACTCTAACAGGCCCTAAACTTCACTCTCTCAGCTCTCACTGAGGGGGTCTCAACAATTTCAAGTCTGGAAATGGGGTGACAATAGGGAAAAGACTTAGGAAGCACTAATCCAGATGAAGGAATTGGGGGTAGCATCTACAAGTGTAAAGATCTGGGGTAGAGTCAGCATTGTGGAGGGGTCTGAATGTTGAATATACATTCAATCCTTCAGGGAAAAGTGTCACAGTAAACAGAGAGAGAAAGAGAGAGAGAGAGCTATCTGAGCAAATTACATTGATTTCTGAAGGTACTTGAGCAATACTGTGAAGAGATAGCTAGTGTGACTTGGATGCAAGGGTGTATGACTAGAAGACAATGCATACTATTTTGTGCTTGTACAAGACCTTGGCTTGGCCTCAATTGGAAAACTATGGACCATTTTAGTCTCCTCCCATAGTCGGTAACAGAATGGATTCAGAAAGTGTCCAGAAGAGAATGAATGGATCAATCCCCAAGTTAAGGTGAAAGAGATGGGACTCTACACTTCAGAAAAGCACAGATGCAGGAGTTTGAAAAGACAATATTGCGGAGGTAACTGAAATATTACTGGAAACTGAAATAAAGGACACAGAAGAGACTTAGCAGCTCTGTCATTGTCTGAGGAATGGAAAACACAGTTATCTTTTCAGATCAGTGACCTTCCATCAGAATTAACCTACTTAACGTTACGTTTGTGTAAGCTAGCTTCTTTAAACTATGTAAGTTAGGGGATGATAGCTGAATGCCAAACAAGGTCAGATGTCAGGAGGTGGGTCCTTTTCCATTGAAGTGGCATGTGGAGCAGATTCCTTGCATGTGGAGTGAAAAATTAAACTGCCAAAATTATTTACTCTTGGGTTGGACCTGTTTCTACTGGGGAGGATACCTGTGCATTTGTTCAATTACAAGGCCCAGTGTAGACTCCTGGGCTGGTTTTGACAGCCTAAACAAAGGGAAGAGGAATTTGGCTTGTGTTTTCTGGTTGGATTTTAATCTCTCTCAACTCACAGAGGTTTGGATGCTGTGGAGTGGTATAAGACATAGTGCAAGAGGGCCATTTCCTTTCAGTTATTGTCCTTGAGTACTCCATCTCTTTGATTCATGTTTCAACAGTTAGCTGCTAAATCATTCCTTGTGGATATTTTGACTTTGCCAACTTTCTTTGTGGGTCTATTCTTGCAGCACCCACCATACAAGCAGTGAGTGTGATGCAAGTGTGCAGTATCTCTGAACTCAGAAAATCTACTCTTTCATATAACCTCAGCTTTATCCTTTGACTCATGTTTGTGATTGCGGTTAATATTCTGTTTTGCTGCAAGTCTATCCAATGGTTTTTCCTTCAGTGCCCATTTCTCTATTGTCCCAAGGCATAGAGCAAAAGACTGTAACAAAAATGGAAATTGTTGGAAAAGCTCAGCATGTCTGGCAGCATCTTGGAAAGAAATCAGAGTTAATGTTTCGGATCCAGTGACCATGATGGTAGCTAGGAAAAAATGTTTTATTAAGCAGAAGATAGGATGGGGAGGAGGGGGTAAGGCTTAAACAATAGATAGAGATAGAGCCCATTCTCTCAGGTTTCTCCATCTCCATCGCATCTGTTGATGATGCCAACTTCAAGAGCCTCCGAAATGTCCACCTCCCTTCCTCAACTGAGGATTCCCCAGCACTGTGATTGACAGGGCCCTCAGCTGGGTCCAACCCACCTGCATTTCAGCCCTCATCCCCTCTCTTCCCTCCGACAACAGCGATAGGGTCCCCCTTGTCCTCATCGACCATCCCACCAGCCTCCACAGCCAAAGGATCATTAGCCCCCATTCCCACCCTCCAGACAAATATTCCCCTGCTCTTCCTTGTCAGGCTTCCGCAGGGACTGTTTCCTCTGGAACACCCTGGTTCACTCATTCTTCACTCCCAACATCCCCTCACAGCCCCATGGCACCTTCCCCTGCAACCACAGAAGGTATAACACCTGCCCATTTACCTCCTCCCTCCTCAGTATCCAAGGGCCCAAACACACTTTCCAGGTGAAGCAGCACTTTACCTGCACTCCCCACAATCTAGCCTACTGTATTCACTGCTCAGAGTATGGTCTCCTCTACACTGGGGAAACAAAGTGTAGGCTGGGTGACAGCTTTGCAAATACCTATGTCCTGTTCGCAAAAAAGACCCTGAGCTTCCAGTTGCCTGCCACTTTAACACACTACCCTGTTCTCTGGCGAACAGCTCTGTCTCAGGCTTGCTGCTGTGTTCCAGTGAAGCTCAGCACAAGCTGGAAGAACAATACCTCATTTTCCACTTGGTCATCCTGTAGCTCTCCAGACTCAATATCGAGTTCAATAATTTAAAGGCTTGAGGCACCTTCTCCCATGTCCTTACCCCAACTCCCACCCATCAGGCCTTGTTATCACATGGTTTGCTATTACACACAACCCATTGTTAATCACTAATTGTCCCCATTAGTAGCTACTCATTCTCCCAGGCTGATCGCTATCCACTCCTTTGTCTATCCAATTGTCATTCTGTCTCTTTTGGTTCGATCTCCACCTATCGTTTACCCTCTCCCCAACCTATCTTCTGCGTAAGAAACAACCTTTTCCTAGCTACCATCAGTTCTGAGGAAGAGTCACTGGACACGAAATGTTAACTCTGATTTCTCTCCATAGATGCTGCCAGACCTGCTGAGGTTTTCCAGCAATTTCTGTCTTCGATTCTGATTTCCAGCATCTGAAGTTCTTTCAGTTTTTACTGAACAAAAGAATATATCTCATACGGTACTGACTACATCAGTAAAGCTGACATCCGTATTTCCAAGGTCAATATCTCTGGCAGCATAGTTCATCAAAGCTTAACCAATAATATGCCCTTGGCTACACACAAGTGACCTCCTTCCTAGGTCAGGATTGGAAAAATGTTCCTATATCATTGTATTCATTCATTTGAAGATTAAATATCGGCTATGACCCTGCTGAGAAGTTATAACTTTTGATAAAGTAGTGCCATGGAATCTTTTGCCTCCACCAGGGAATGAAAGAATCTGCATCAAAGCAAGCAGTTTAAGCTCAAGATTATTGGAAGGAAGAAGAAAGTCACATTATTAGTTAAGTACACATTGAGTTTAAATACTATATTGCTTCAACACCCACCCAGTTATCTGTTGCTCAGATGTCAGACACTAAAGGTATTTTAATACAGCATCTTACAACTTACCAACTCCAGAGATAGTGCAGGCCCAGCAATACAGATTTGTTACCAGGATGGTTTTCTTTAGGATCAGGCAATAATTATGTTTAGCTCTTCTTCAGTATTTGAATAAACGACATACCTTTGGAGTACTGTGATGTTACCAAAGCATAATTTGATAATGCTTATTACATACAATCATAAAACAACAGTATGATGATTCTGTGACATTCTTCACAGGCAAGGGTCCGTGTTGGTTGGCAGGAACATGAACTAGAGATGCAACGTGAACTATCCACAACAAAACATCAGCAAGGCCAGCAGACAGAAGCATGTGAAAGTTTACAAAAGTATGACTTTCTAATATATGTGAAAAGTTCTGTTCTAATACAACAATGCAAAGAATGCAATGCCTTTGTCTAGCTGAGAAACAGTTTATCACATTTTATCTAATCTGCAGTGCTAAAGGACAATGCCGTGGAACAAACTTTAAGTAACAGTGACCCCCTCATCCTCTTTGTAGTTGGGATTCATGACCTGTTCCAATATTAAGTTTCAGATACAGAGGTTTATTTATTCCTAACAGATTACATTTTCAAAGCTGCCCATTTCTCATTTCCACCTTCACTCATGTACGGAACTAAAGGTATGGTTTGCATGGGACAGCAATAGAGTCAGTGTTCCTCTGAGAGAGGATAAGGCACTTGGGCCCAAAAATAAAAAAGGGTATTTTTGAATTAGGTTTATTGTCATGTTCACATGAGTACAGTGAAAAGTTTACACGTCACCACTTAGGTAAAAAGATACCTAGGTACAAAGCAGAAAAATAAAGAAAACAAAGTTAAAATGTTAAACATGTTAATCCTTCTTACTAAAAAGTAGAAAAACAGAAACACAGTTAAAGTTCAACACCACAGTCCATAAGCACCGAGCAATGCTGGACTCACACTCCTCACAAGAGCTCGACCTCCCCTGCTCTGGACTCGACCTTGGCCCCTCTGCCGCTCCAGGCTGCCTGTTCTCACTCTCATCGCCCACAACCTCGAACTGCCTGTTCTCACTCTTGCCGCCTCGAGCTGCCAGTTCTCGCTCTCGCTACTGGCCACCTCGAGCTGCCTGGTCTTGCCACCTTGCAGCCTGTTCCTGCTGCCGCCTCGGGCTGCCTGCTCCCACTCTCACCACCTTGTCTTCGCATTGGAGAGAGAGGGAAAGAGCCAGTGTTGATGTTCTAGACAGCTTTTCTTGCTCGGGTCTTTATGTTAAACGGGGAATTGGTACTAGGATGTAAAATTGTTTATTCCACCTTTTACAAAAAAAAAACACTTGTATTTCCATAGTGTCTTGACAATCTCAGGAAGTCCCAAAGTGCTTTACAGCTAATGAAGTACTTTTATTTTGAAGTGTAATATTGCAATGTAATAAACATAGCAGCCAATTTGCCCAAAGCAAGCTTCCACAAACACGAATGTGATAACCAGGTAATTCGTTCAGTGATATTGACAGAAAAGTAAACATTGGCCATGTCACTGAGGAGAACGCCACTACTCTGCTGAAATATTGCCATGGGATTGTCTGCCTCCACCAGAGGAATCTTAAAATAAAGCAAACACTTCAACCTTGAGGTTACTGAAGAAATGTGAAAGCCACATAATTGGGCCAAAGTGTACTGTGGCAAACATTATATTGCTACATCATCCATCTAATTCGGTGTTATTTAAATGCGAGATCCCAAAACGATACAGAAGCTCATCATTTCCCAGACTTGAGTGAGTGCAGGGAATCGATTGCAGAGATGGTGCACAGTTAACATTACACCTGTGCATGCCAACTCTGTAGTTGCTTGGAATGAGTAAGACAGGTTAGCAAAGAGTTCAAGCTCCTAATTTAGCTATTCTGCAGTCAGATCAGATATGGAAAAGTAGTCCCTTTACTCGGAAATACGTTTTAAAAAAGAAAACTAAAGGTCTTTAATGTATAAGTAAAATATCTTTTAAAACACAGAACATATATAACATTCAGACACAATGAGATACAAACGCTTATTGGAAGGCGGCAAAAAAGAGAAGTTTAGTGTGTCATTGGGAATAGTGACTGTCTGGAGAACCTCAGGATTTGCAGGCGCAGTCTGTGTAAGGGAAAGAGGGCCAGGCCCTTCGAAGTCAAGGCAAGGTAGGACTCCACCTGGTGGAATGCACAGACTTAACACAAAAGTTTTCAGTAAATACAACAGTTTGGGTTCCCCTCCAAATAGTGCCTCCTTGCCTTTTCAGCCGGGTATCAAGTTTTCCAGTCATTTTACAGCTTTGTCTCATTTCCTTCTCTAGAAATCAGCAAATTCCTTCGAATATTTCTCTGTGAGAGATATGCGGATCGCCTCCTCTTCATACTCGTCAAAGTTACTGGTGTCCCCGGGGCCTCTAAACTTGGGTTTAAAAGGAGGCTCCTCCTGAGGAAAGGAACAGAAACTAAATTAAGTTGCTTTAGAGTCAAAGAATCATTCAGACACACGTATGCTGACAGCTGCTCACTAGATTTCTCTATTTCACCCTCAGTGACATGTTACAGCAAAAGGTTCTCATTGACACCCTAAATACTTGCAATGAACCCCCCCAAACCATACCACCTATTCAGTACATGCTAAAATATCATAGATCATAGAATCCCTACAGTGTGGAAACAGGCCTTCGGCCCAACAAGTCCACACTGAACCTCAGTGCATCCCGCCCAGACCCATCCCCCCTATAACCCACCTAATCTATACATCCCTGAACACTACCGGCAATTTAGCCTGGCCAATCCACCTAACCCGCACATCTTTGGACTGTGGGAAGAAACCGGAGCACCCGGAGGAAACCCACGCAGACACAGGGAGAATGTGCAAACTCCACACAGACGGTCACCCGAGGGTGGAATCAAACCCAGGTTGCTAGTGCTGTGAGGCAGCAGTGCTAATCACTGAGCCACCGTGCCGCCCCATAGCGGTGAGCAAGCTTCCTTCGAATTTGCTCTCAGCTTTCGCCCGTAGTCAGCAGGATTCGAACCTGCACGGGAACATCCCAATGGATTTCAAGTCCATCGCCTTAACCACTCGGCCATGACTACAGAAGCCGCATCATAAGGCCATTGTTCCAATGCTTGGACATTGCATTTTGGTTGCAACATCACAATTTAAAAATAATTCTTGGTTTGTGGACACGGCTGGCACAGCCAGCATTTATTACCCATCCCTAAATACCCTTGATCTGGGTGGCTGCCAGGCAATTTGAGAGGGCAGCTAAATGTCAGTCACATGTAGACCAGACCAGCGAAGGACGGCAGATCTTCTTCCACAAAGGGACGTGAGTGAACCAGAATATTCCACTATCGTTGTCACGGTCACCATCACCAAGACTATCTTTCATATCTTTAAACTATTTAATTGAATTTAAATTCCACCAGTTGCTGTGGTGGGATTTGAAACCATATCCCAGAGTAATAGCCTGGATTACCAGTCAATGACATGGCCACTGTGACATCACCTCCCCCACGTTCCCACTGAGATGCACACCAAAACCCAGAATCCATTCTCTTTTCATCATAACAGCTCATACATTACAGCCCTGAATACACACACTACTTGTTGCTCCCTTTCAACACAGAACCATTATGCTTTCTTGAGCAGTATTGTAGCAAAGAAAACAATAGTCCTTCAGGTGCAGAATGTAAATGTGACATTGGCTACCTCTAGCTAGTTGAAGCTAACATATAGGATAAATATGACAACAGGAAAACTCAATGCTAATTCTGTATTCTGAACATACAGGAGTTTACACTGTGACTTACTTCACTGAAACAAAGATCCAGTGCTGGCTGAGCTAGGTAAATGGGGTGCGTCTGTACAGGGAGTTTATCCACAATCTGTCACACAGAACAGAAACTCCCCATCCATTTTAGAAACACAGGAACAGGTGAGATGTGCATTAGATATCCTCCTAAACAGAAACAAAATGCTTGTGCCTATATAAGCAGAGAAAGGAAATTGAGAGGAATAGGTCAGTGGGTACAGAGTGAGAGGTAAGAAGACTGAGAGAGCAAGAACATTTATGCGTGTGTTGCTGTAACTGAATTGGTCACAGAAAGTGGTGGAAGTCTGAATCCTCTCCTGGTACACTACTACCCAGTCTGCAGTAAACAGCTTCACCAACTCCTGCCTCGGGAAATACAGGCTGACTGGCTGGGGTCACAGTACCTTTCTTTTGTAGATGGATAGCCAGTCTGTGTTGGCAAACCACTTATGGTTTTTGATGTCATTGACACCGTTTCGGAGATTACCAAACCGTTTGGTCAGATCAACCTGCAACAGGTTCCGCAGTAGATCTTTTAGGTCAGAACTGAAATGAGATGGAAACCGCACCTGAAAAGAAACATTGGTCAGTTACACAAGAATGACTCAGGCTTATATGACACCAGATGTTGAGCAAAGATTAAGATTAAGGGTAGATTTTCTGATTTGACATACACATAAAGGGAGAATCAGATATTTGGATACAGAACTGGCTTGAAGGTAGAAGATAGAGGGTGGTGGTGGAGAGTTGCTTTTCAGACTGGAGGCCTGTGACTAATGCTGTGCCACAAGGATTGCTCCAGGGTCCACTGCCATATGTCATTTACATAAATGATTTGAATGCAAACATAGGAGATATGGTTAGTAAGTTTGCAGATGAACCAAAATTGGAGGTGTAGTGGACAGTGAAGAAGGTTACCTCAGAGTACAACGGGATCTTGATCAGATGGGCTAATGGGCTGAGGAGTGGCAAATGGAGTTTAATTTAGATAAATGTGAGGCGCTGTATTTTGGAAAGGCAAATCAGGGCAGGACTTATACACTTAATGGGTACTGTTGCTGAACAGAGACCTTAGAGTGCAGTTTCATAGTTCCTTTAAAGTGGAGTCACAGGTAGATAGGACAAAGAAGGCGGCGTTTGGTATGCTTGTCTTCGTTGATCAGTGCATTGAGTATAGGAGTTGGGAGGTCACATTGTAGCTGTAAAGACATTAGTTAGGCCATTGGATTACTGTGTACAATTCTGGTCGCCCCACTATAGAAAGGATGTTGTGAGGCTTGAAAGGGTTAAGAAGTGATTTACAAGGATGTTGCTGGAATTGGAGGGTTTGAGCTATAGGGAGAGGCTGAATAGGCTGGGGTTATTTTCCCTGGAGCATCAGAGGCTGAGGGGGTGACCTTATAGAACTTTATAAAATCATGACGGGCATGGATAGGGTAATTAGACAAGGTCTTTTCCCCAGGGTGGGGTAGTCCAAAACTAGTGGGCGTAGGTTTAAGGTGAGAGAGGAAAGATTTAAAAGGGACCTAAGGGGCAACTTTTACACACAGAGGGTGGTGCGTGTATGGAATGAGCTGCCAGAGGAAGTGGTGGAGGCTGGTACAATTACAACATTTAAAAGGCATCTGGATGGGTATATGAATAGGAAGGATTTAGAGGGATATTGGCTAAATGCTGGCAAATGGGACTAGATTAACTCCGGATATCTGGTTGGCATGAACGAATTGGACCGAAGGGCCTGTTTCTCTGCTGTAAATTTCTATGGTGTTATGACACACTAATACACTGTAAACCAATAGATATAAAATTGCGTGCATCATTGCTGCAACTTAGATACTTGTTTATGGTGGGTGGGTGGTGGGGAGTATCTCGTTGTGGTTGTGGATTCACAAACTACAACATCTTTTGTGAATAGTAAACCATGTCTGCTTGGGGTCAGTGCTGCTTCAGTGCATCAGAGCTCGATATTTCACCTTACCACTGTGTGAGGTCCCAAAGACAGGACACAAGCATAACAATCTGGCTATTTACTTTCAAGCCAGACTGTCCTTTATTATTCAGAGGAGGTTGATGAACTAATGATAGCTCCTATAACGGTGAGGCATCCACTTTGGGGCACATAGCATAGGCCGAGTGGGCTGAACAGCCTCCTTCTGTATCGTGAACACTACGATGACAGCAAAGGATTTTTTTAAGAGGAGTATGTGACCTTCTTATTAATTCTATGAAAATATACCACCTCACATTTATTCACATTGATGTTCATTTGCCAATGACACGCTTGTTCTGCAAGCTTACAAAGAATTTCCTATATTTTGGGCAGTTCTTTTACTAATTCTTCAAATCGCATCTCCAATTTGGTGCACCCCCATATTTTGAAACTGTCATCCAAATCCCAATTCCAAATTATTAACATAACTGGTGAATAGCTGTGGTCCTGGCACCAATCCTCATGGAACACTGTTTCCCTGCTTTGTGCAGTCTGATTAATTCAACGCTCTGCTTTCTGGCTTGTAGGTAGGCTGCTATTTTTTCTGTTATTTCTGATTCTATCTGTTCTGTCTTTACAGGAGTTGACTATGCAGTACCTTATCAAAGGCTTTTTGAAAATCTAAATACATTATGTTCAATGCATTACCCCTTTAACTACTCTTGATGTTATTTCTTCAAACAATACAATAAAATTAGTTAAGCACAATCTTCCCTTTAAACATCTGCGCTGGCAATCATATTTTCTGTTTTTTGATGCTTTTCTATTACCTCTCTTAACTAAGTGTAACATTATTTTTGCAACCACTGATATTGAGCTAACTGGCATACAGTAATGACTCAATGTCTTGCATTAACAATGTATTGGACTTGTTCCACCTCCCTTTTAAATATAGGAATCACGTCAGCTATTTGCCTGTATTCTGAAAAAATTCTCTTTAAAAAAAGTATTTTTTACACATATGTAACAGTGTCTCTGCTATCTGTTCCTCAGTGTCTCCTAGTCTTAAGCAAAGCATCTTCTATTACACCGTGTGGGATTTGTGTCTTCCAAATCAAATATCCTCATGACCTTTCTAAACGAGGTTGACAATGTAGTAACAACTGATGCCAAATTACAGACAATTCATTCTGTCACTCTAAAAGAAAACACATTACGACTGCACAAACTCATCGCATTCAGGTGAAACATTGTAAAGTTCAATCCATCAAATAAAGCTCCCATATGTAAAAGGACAATGCTCATAGTCATTTTTCTCAATCCCCAGGAGTAAGCATTGTGCAGCACATGCCCTATTAAGAGAATCAGCATTCAATGTTCTAACATACCGACAAGAAGCAGCAATTCATATACAACAGTTACATGAGCATAACTATGTTCCTGTTGGACATGTGCCCAAGCAGATGGACCCAATCCATTTTCTCACCTCTTGGATGGCAATAAATGACCCTTTAGGATAACGGACTTTAGCTGACTAGTAGGTAACTTGAGGTAGTCAGAGAGAACTCTGCAGGTAGGTTAAAATGTCCAATTGTGTTTGCCTCAAAGGCATTTTTTCCAACAGGTTACTTAAAGAATAAAACCACATTTATACAGTGCCAATCACATCCCCATAATGTCCCAAAGTACTTTGCTGCCAATGACATACATTCGAAATGTAAGAATTAGAAATGTGTTTGTCACTGCAGACAGCATGGCTCCACAAGTAGCTGTGAAATAACAGAGCAGTTAAATACATTTTTAAACATGGTTTATGATCAAGGTGTAAATGTCAGCCAGGAGAACTGCTCTGTTCTTCAAACGTGAAACTTTTGGGTTCAAACACCATGAAATATTTAACATCTACCTAAACAGACAAACAGGCCATTCATTAGCTTAATGCTTCATTTGAAAAGTGGTTTAAAAGACATTTAGATAAGTACATGAATAGGAAATGTTTGGAGGGATATGGGCCAGGAGCAGGCAGGTGGGACTAGTTTAGTTTGGGATTATATTCAGCATGGACTGGTTGGAGTGAAGTTTTGTTGCTACATGACTTTATGAATCAATGGTGTGCCTGACATGAAATACTCCAAGGCACAAACTCTCTCTCGCTATGAATATCTAACACTATTTTCTTCCCTCCTTGCGTATCATTTATAATTAGGACATGACTGACTGTTGATTAGACAAAGCCTCCAGTTGGGTCCTCAACAAAAACAGTGTCAACATGGCTCAAATGATAGCTTTCTCCAGTTAGAAATTTCATTCCAGAGCTCAAACCCATTATCCAGACTGTTACTTCACTTTGACAGTGAAGGAGTTCTGCATTGTACCTCAGAAACATTAAACCATGTAATATTCTTCATGTCCCACTGGTTTGGGTGAATGTTAAGGATCGCAAGATACTAGGTAAAAAGACATGGAGTTCTGCCAGATTCTGGACAACGTTCCTCCTGTAAAAACATTTCACTCTGTCATCTCGTTGCTCTTTGTAAGATCTTGTGGTTACCGCATTTGCTCGCACACTCTTGATTGTCAAGATGTTTCAATGATGGAGGGAGGTACTGTTTAAAATTCGAATCTCTCCTTATTTAATTACACAGGATCAGAATAATATTTTCTGAAGCACAATGCTTACCTTCCCCGAGACTATTTTTTCGTAAATCTGAATTGGCTGGTCTGCAAAAAACGGAGGATACCCCGCACACATTTCATAGATTAGGACTCCTAATGCCCACCAATCCACAGCTTTGTTATAGCCCTGGAGGAGTAAGAGACATGGATCAAAAAGACAGATTCAAAACAATCTCTCTCAAGTTTGCTGATCTTGCCTAAACAGTAATTTGGGTTTTACAATTGCTTCAATGGGTTATTTGTGGCAGAACAGTCAAAGTTGCTAAGAAAGCAACTGGTTAAAACAATTCCTACTGAAAGAGTGCAAAGTGAGTGTAGGCTTTGACTCATGATGGCAAAAGTATCTTTGCACATCAAAGTCCAATAATTCTCAGCCCTCTAGGAGGAGATGGTGGCCTCTTGGTAATGCCATTTGTTTATGAGGCTTAAATTATTTCCAAATAAATAGGTTAATACATCACATAACCAGGACTTATCCAAATATATTTGACAGTCACTGTAGAACTCCTATTGTTGCAGATCTGTGTAGACATCTGCCTACAGTGAAGCAATGACTGAATCCCGAGATTTGTAAAGCATAGGACTGCAATTAGAACCTAACTGGGTAGCTTACAACATGGTGACAGTATCTCTAACATGCCAGCACAGTACTCCTTTCACTGAATCTAAACAAACATTCTGGTATTTATACCTTGACAACACTGAATACCAAAGAAAGAAAGACAAGGGAAGAGAACATTTTGATACTAGATTTACAGGACGTCTTCAGATTGTGTTTTTCATGAACTGGAAGGAGTTGAAAGATGCTGCAAGCTGCAAGGAGAAAGCAGCAGCTCCTTACCTTGCTGAGAATGATCTCAGGAGCCAGGTATTCGGGAGTTCCACACAGTGTCCAAGTTCTACCCTTTACCCTCTTGGCAAATCCAAAATCTGTCACCTAGACATGAACCAGATTTTAAAATCAATCTGAGTTGAAACAGATTGGAGCACTTGTATGTTTCTTTTTATCCCCTTATTTCACCATTTTCATTTAATTTCAATTGTAATTTGAGGAATCAGTCTACGTAGGCTAGATCATCTTGAGTCTTATTCTCTTTAAAAAGGACCATAAAAATCTGTAAGGTTTCATGTGCTAAGCCTCAAAATTTCAATTACCCATTTAACATAGGACCTGACCCCTCTATTCTGTACAAGGTTCACACTTCAACTATCTGGACTCCATTTTCTCCCCCTTGGTCCAGGAACTCCCTACCTATGTCCGTGACACCAGCCACGCCCTCCACCTCCTCCAGAACTTCCAATTCCCGGTCCCCAACACCTCATCTTTACCATGGACGTCCAGTCCCTCTACACCTGCATTCCCCATGCAGATGGCTTAAAGGCCCTCCGCTTCTTCCTGTCCCGCAGGCCCGACCAGTCCCCCTCCACTGACACCCTCATCCGCTTAGCTGAACTCGTCCTCACCCTCAACAACTCTTTCAATTCCTCCCACTTCCTACAGACAAAGGGGGTGGCCATGGGTACCCGCATGGGCCCAAGCTACACCTGCCTCTTTGTAGGTTACGTGGAACAATCCCTCTTCCGTACCTACACCGGCCCTAAACCCCACCTCTTCCTCCGTTACATTGATGACTGTATCGGCGCCGCCTCGTGCTCCCACGAGGAGTTCGAACAGTTCATCCACTTTACCAACACCTTCCACCCCAACCTTAAGTTTACCTGGACCATCTCTAATACCTCTCTGTCTCCATATCGGGCAACCACCTAGAAACCGATATTCATTTCAAGCCCACCGACTCCCACAGCTACCTAGAATACTCCTCCTCCCACCCACCTTCCTGCAAAAATGCTATCCCCTATTCCCAATTCCTTCGCCTCCGCCGCATCTGCTCCCAGGACGAGGCATTCCACTCCCGTACATCTCAGTTGTCCTCGTTTTTCAAGGACCGTAACTTCCCCTACTCAGTGGTCAAGAACGCCCTCAACCATGTCTCCCACATCTCCTGCAACTCATCCCTCACACCCCGTCCACGCAATAAGAACCAAAAAAGAATCCCCCTCGTCCTCACGTACCACCCCACCAACCTCCGGATCCAACGCATCATCCTCCGACACTTCTGCCATCTGCAATCCGATCCCACCACCAAAGGCAGCTTTCCCTCCCCACCCTTATCTGCGTTCCGGAGGGACCACTCTCTCCGTGACTCCCTTGTCCGCTCCACACCCGGCACTTTTCCCTGCAACCGCAGGAAGAGCTACACCTGCCCCCATACCTCCTCCTTCACCCCCATCCCAGGCCCCAAGAAGACTTTCCACATCAAGCAGATGTTCACCTGCACATCTGCCAATGTGGTATACTGCATCCGCTGTACCCGGTGTGGCTTCCTCTACATCAGGGAAACCAAGCGGAGGCTTGGGGACCGCTTTGCAGAACACCTATGCTCGGTTCGCAATAAACAACTGCACCTCCCAGTCGCGAACCATTTCAACGCCCCCTCCCATTCCTCAGACGACATGTCCATCCTGGGCCTCCTGCAGTGCCACAACGATGCCACCCGAAGGTTGCAGGAACAGCAACTCATATTCTGCTTGGGAACCCTGCAGCCCAATGGTATCAATGTGGATTTCGCAAGCTTCAAAATCTCCCCTCCCCCTACCACATCCCAAAACCAGTCCAGCTCGTCCCCGCCTCCCTAACCTGTTCTTCCTTCCACCTATCCCCTCCTCCCACCTCAAGCCGCACCCCCATCTCCTACTGACTAATCTCATCCTGTCCCCTTGACCTGTCCGTCCTCCCTGGACTGACCTATCCCCTCCCTAACTCCCCACCTACACTCACCTTTACTGGCTCCATCCCCGCCTCTTCGACCTGTTTGTTTCCTCTCCACCTATCCTCTCCACTATCCATCTTCTATCCGCCTCCCACTCTCTCCCTATTTATCTCAGAACCCCCTTCCCCTCCCCCTTTTCTGATGAAGGGTCTAGGCCCGAAACGTCAGCCTTTCTGCTCCTATGATGCTGCTTGGCCTGCTGTGTTCATCCAGCCCTGCACCTTGTCTCGGATTCTCCAGCATCTGCAGTTCCTACTATCTCTGATCCTGTTTAACATTTGTTGCCTTGCTTGTATCTACATTAAATCCCATCTGCTTCTCCTTAACCACATCTACTTCCTTTGTTCAAATGTCTTTTCTGCATGAAGGTTCCTTACATTTTTCACATAAGCCAAATTCTTTGCAACTGACAAATTTGATTAATAATGATCCCTTCCACTAAAACAACAAGTTAACAGTATCAACACAATCAATCCGTACTACAAACACTACATAGTTCAAAGTGAAAATCAGGACCATTCAGTCATTGTTCAATGCCCATAATCACTGCATCCAGCTGTTTTCTTGGAAAAATAATCTAGAAATTGATTACTTCCTCTGCAGTTTTTTAACCAAAACTATTTCCTGAATACTACTTTATCAAACTTTGGTGCTGGTTCATATGTTTGGACATTTTGTTTAAGTTTCATTTGGTCCACATTAATGGATTTAGGTAACTAGGCCTTTCAGAAAATATTTTACTGAGATCTTTCTTGCAACGCTGCCAAAAGAAGTCTAAAGTCCTTCAAGTAGAGGATGGTGATACATAAGAAATGCTGTGAATTTTCCATATTGGGCTCACAGATGTTCAATTTGTTTGTTAATACCCGAGCAAATTTTGGTTCCCGTCCCAGAGATTTGCAATTGTCAGTGTTTGAACATTACTCCTTGGTTTCTCTCACTAGGTTTAGCTTGTTAACAAGGCAAGGTTACAGCAAATAGTGAGTTACTTCTGGCTACGGCTGTTCACCATTAGCAGGTACTCCTCAGTCCTACTGATACTGCTGATCCAACAGGCAGGAATTTACTGGTGGTAATTTGGACAAAAGTACTAGTAGCAGTAATAATTTGATCTGCATCTTCTGAACCATGTATGTGGTACAGGTAATAATTGGGAGGGGATGTCATCCAAGGGCTAAGGCATACGAAGCACATATGTTTTAACCTGAGTCACAGAGACAGAAAAGAGTAAATATGCACAGTATGCAGATACCTCAACATCACGGGTTAGGAATAAGCGAGTGCTTTCAAAGTATTATGAAAAATACACCATTGGTTGTGCTCATTCTGACTCAATGCCCAACACACAACAGGATTGAGGGATGAAATGGACATGGTCATAGATCTGATTCCTAAAGTTGGTGGCTAAATGAAGAATTTGCTACAAAGGAAATTTGGGAATCTGATTTCATCTAGAAAGTAGTGGATACAAGTTCCAAATTGTATTGATGTTGTATGAATTGCAGGCATCCAATCTTGGACTATGGAATGCAGTTTGGTCACCTGACCTCAATAAAGTAACTGTTATATTTTGGAACGTTTCAGGAAAAGAATGAAGAGTGAATCTTCAGAATAGGCCATCAAGTCTGGGAGGGACTACATTCAATAATGCTGGAGAAAAAGATTAAAATATAAGGCTTCTCAAGGATAATTGATGTGTTAATATGTGATCAGGGAAAAGATTTAATTCTTAATCGTGATATTTTCAAAAAAAATTGTCAGAAAAAGGAATTGAGGATTATTGAGATGTTAACAGATCTATTTGATTCACATTACAATTTAGGAATGTGGAAGAAGTGGGCTTGATGGGATCAATAGTCTTTCAGCATTCCAACCTTTTTTGCATTGGAAATGATGGATGTAGAGTTGGAGCTAGTGTGTCTCAGTATTACTGAGTAGTACCTTAACCAGGTAATAGCTCATGCCGTTTGCATGTCACTCAGTGGAAAGACAGCAGGGATAATTGCAGGAAATGACAAGGAAGTGTAATTTATAGATGCAGGTGGAGAGAAGTGTAATTTACAGATGCAGGTGGAGGAAACTGACTTTGGCACACAGCTGAGAGACAATAGTAAAGCCAGGACTTAAGCAATTGCCCTCATCAGTAGAATTTTCTCAAATATAATTATTTATTGTAACTCTACTTCAATCCAGAGTGGGATTTATTTTCCCTTCAGTGATAGTATCAAGCCTTTCTCTCATTGGGCAGTTAAAGCAGGCATTATCTAAAGACAAGGAAAAGAACAGCCCTTCCATCAGCACTGGATAATTATCGATTTAAAGTGCCTGTTCTGGGTTGCTACAAATCCACATCTTTCAATCACCCTAACGTTGTGCCAGTAGATCCTATACTATTTTTGCTGGTAAAACACTACTCCCTCACTCTTTTTTAAAACTCTTTCCAATGCTGCACCTACCATACAGAACATTCCCCCCTCCACCCTGACCCTGTGCTCATATGTAAGTCATTTCACTTAACTGTGGCCAGTGCATATCTGTAGTATCCCTTGAATAGCTACTCCCTGCCCCAAGATTATTGTATTTGTTCAATATCTGAAGTAGTCACATAATCTGGCATTCTCCTGGAGTATGGCAGACACCCTGTTCTCAAGGTGTGCCCTCTAATTTGGTACCTGATGCTGAAAGGTTTAGGCCATTCCTGGGGCACTCCCCCATACCTGGATGTAGCCATTTTGGTCAATCAGTATGTTTTCAGGCTTCAGGTCCCTGTAGACAAGGTCTAGTGAATGGAGGTACTCGAACGCGAGGACAATCTGCGCTGCATAAAATCGTGAGTGAGGTTCACTGGAAGCAAGATATTTATAATTAAATTCAGATTCGAGGGCAGAGAGATAACAAACACCTTGTTCAATGTGGAGGCATTTTGGAAATTGATTGTGGACTGGTGCTCAAGCACCTTCATCTGAAAGACAGTAACGGAGGCCATAACAGAAAAGTGGCAAATGCAGGGACATTACAGAAATTGAGGTTTTATTTTGACCAGGAGCACGTCCTTTGCAACTGAAATAATTATTCAACAAGTGTATTACAGATGGCTTGTCACAATTAAGCAAGATCGTTTGTATTGATAAAACAGCAAATCCTATTCATGATCTCTAGCATAGAAATTACAGAGCATCTCAAACACAAAATTGATCACAGATATGTTATTCCTGCTTCGAGAAGAAAACAATCATCAACAATGACCTCTCCAGCTTTCAACAAGACCATATTATTTCTATGCACCCATTAGCATTTAATCATACTGCCTGCCAAAGGAACTCTGTGACTTAGCTTGTGAAAAACAATCCTGTCTGTTTTCATAGTTGCAGCATTGTGCCAGGTGAAGGAGCCCTCTGCATTTAAAACTCCCTAAAACATTTTCCTATTTTGTTCCATCAACTTGCAGCCCATTATTTGCTAACTTCCAGCTTGCTGTACACCTGAGGCATTAGCCAGTAACATAGGCATTATGCAAATTAATAAGGAAATGTAATAAGGAAATAAGACTTAATTGTACAAAGGGAGGCATGTATGGCACAGTCAAGAGGGAGTTGACATTGTCATACTCGACACTGACTCTGAACCCCCCAGCATCAGGTTAAATATGTGCTAGGAAACTGCCTGCTAATTTCCACCTACCACCCATCTCACCTGATGAACCAGGACACTTCCAGGTTGAACACAGAGGGTGGAAAGAGTGCAGAATGTGCTCTGGGTGGGGAAACTTCAATGTCCATCCACTAAGACAGGGTTAGTAGTAATGACTACTGACCACATTGCCTGAATCCCCATGGACATATCTGCCTGAATGGGCTTGCGGCAAGCAGTATGAATCCAAGAGGGAAAAACGTACAAGATCTTGTCCTCACCAATCTACCTGTTGCAGGTGCATCTGTCGATGATAGTACTAGGAGGAATGGCCACTGCACATCCCTGACATGACAAAGTTTCACCTTCACACTGAGCGTACTGTTCTGGAGTGTGGCAGTACCACCATGCTAAACTGGAGGGATTCACAACACACCTAGCAGCTCAAACCTAGGCATTCATGGGTTGCTGTGGGCCAGCAGCAGCAGAATTGTATTCAACCTGGCATGTCCCTCACTATACCATTACCATGAAGCCAGGAGATCAACCCCTGGTTCAATGAAGAGTGCATGAGGGCATGTTAGGAGCAGCAACAGGCATACCTAGAAATGAGGTGCCAACCTGGTGAAGCCACAACACAGGGCTACTTGCATTCTAAACTGTGGAAACAGCATGCAATAGACAGGGTTAAGTGATATCACAACAAATGGATCAGGTTAAGCTCCACAGTCCTGCCAAATCCAGTCATGAATGCTGGTAGGCAATTCATAACTAATCAGAAGAGGGAGCTCTACAAATATCCCCATTCTCAATCGTGGGGGAGTCTAGCACATCACTGTAAAAGACAAGGTTAAAGCCTTGCAACAATCTTCAGTTAGAAGTGCTGACTGGATGATCCATCTTGGCCTCCTTCTGAAGTCCCTAGCATTAGAGATGCCAGTCTTCAGCCAATTCAATTCACTCCATGTGACATCAAGACACAGTTGAAAACAATGGATACTGCAAAGGGCATGGGCTTTGACAACATTTCAACAATAGCCCTGAAGGCTTTGCCAACTATGGCATCAAGGAACTCTGGCAAAATTGAAGTCAATAGAAATCAAGGGAGAAATTCTTCGATGGTTGGAGCCATACTAACACAAGGAAGGTTGTGGTTATTGGAGGTCAGTCATCTCAGCTCCAGGATATGGCTGCAGGAGTTCCTCAGGGCAGTGTTCTAGCCCCAACCACCTTCAACTGCTTCATCAATGATTTTCCCTTTCTCATAAACATAGAAGTGGGGATATATGTTGATGGTTGCACAATGATCAGTACCATTCTGAATCCTTAGATACTAAAGCAGTCTGTGCCAACATACAGCAAGAGAGACATTATTTAGGCATGGTCTGATAAATGCTAAGTAACATATAAAATGCTGGTCAATGATCATAAGCAAGTAGAAAGAATCTAACCATCTCTTCTTGATTCAGTGCCGTTACCATCAGTGAATTCTCCCCACTATCAACATCCTATGGGTTTCTACTGAACAAGGCATATCAATACTGTAGCTACAAGAGTAGAACAGAGAAAGCTTCTCTACAAGACATAAATTGGGAGTGTGATGGAATACTTTCTAATTGCCTATTTGGAAGTGGCTCCAAAAACACTCAAGCTTATCATCATCCAGGACAAAGGAGCTCATTTATACACTGTCCCAACCTCCAATGTAAACACTCAATCCATCCACACTGATTGGCAAAAGTAGCAGTGTGCATTATGTCCAAGGTTCACAGCAGCGATTCACCAAGGCTCTTTTGACAATAAGGCTCCTTCCAATCCCACAACCACTAGTATCAGAAGGAAAAGGGCAGTAGATATATGAAAACACCACTACTTGTAAGATCCCCTCGAATCCGCACAACACCCTCACTTTGAACTACCTCTCCATTCCTTCCCCATTGCTGGGTTAAGATCCTGAACTTCCTTTGTAGCAGCACACCATATGGGCTACATCGGTTCAAGAAACTGGTTCACCACCACCTGTTCAAGGTTAACTAGGGATGGGCAATTTACCAGTGATGCCCTCATCTTATGAAAGAATAAAAGAAAGGAGTATTGTGCTTTGCCCCTACAAATACACCAGAGAGGACACATTGTAGCTCTGGTCCTTTATTAGTCCCGACTCTTTGTGATACTTGTTTCAAACTTAGATGTCAAATGTCACTGTTCACAGATTAACATGCTTAACAACCTTCATATGGGGCAAAACAAAGATAGGATAACACAGTTAAAACAGATCGTTACTGTCTTCCACCTAAGGGTTTGGTCACACTTTCCACACTGTTTGTTAGCCATGATGTGTTTAGTAGTGAGCTTAGTGCAATATTCAATCCAAATCCTTTGTCTTGAATATTTATCAATCAGTTGCATTATTTCGTACAGCTTTAAGAGACTAACCTGAACCTTCCGCTTCTCCTTAAATGTGAAAACATCTCTCCACCTTGAATATATTCCATCACCATATACAAATTAGTGTTATCCTGGAAAGAAAGAAAGAGAAAGCAAGTTATAAACAAGTCCCATAAAGCACAAAAACAATGCAGGAATTGTATTGTTTACCTCTAACTATTAATGACAGATTGTTAAGGTGCCACCTGTCCCTTACACACACACACACACCCCAACACCTCACCCACCCTCCACATACACACAAACTCACACACAGACAGTCAAGAAAACGTTGGAGTTATGGATGGAAGGAAAAACTGGAAAGGTAGTTCAATGGCCCTAGTCCGCAGAGTTAGCTGAAATGCTTTTTCTGCTTGTCAGGATTTGCTGTTTGTCGATCTCTCAGTTTCTAGCTCTTCAGGTGCTTTGTACTTCCTTGCAGAAGACATATAGCAAATGGTTCACAAATTATAAAATCTCTGATTTATTGGTTAAAAGCGACAGCTTACAGCAACTGGTGAGAGAAAATAAACTGGCTTCCTTCAGGCTTTTAGTGTTTTTTTAATTGCAGAGAAAAGGAAATCACTTTCCCTTCCAGTGGTCCAAATGTTTCTGCCAATCTCATTCATACCCAATACTGTGCAGCTACCTGTGAGCCAATTACATTGTTGATGGCAGGCAGAGGGCCTTTGTGATCAACAACTGGTTACTCCTCCACAAACAACCAGCAGAATCATACTTTGTATTCATTCCCATGATGCCAGTTTGACTGAGAATAATCTTCCCTCACACGGTTGAGCAAACAACATTGCAAGCAGCTCTTACACCAAATCTCAACTGGTTGGTTTTAAAAAGTGCAGCTTTAAACAGCCAGCTCTTTCCACATTTCTGTCCATAATCAAAAATGCAGATGACCTGCACTTTTGGCATACTTGGCTGACAACCTTAAACAATAATCTTTATTATAGGATTAATAAAAGTGATATCTTTACAACTGCTACTAGATTAGCTGCCAAACTTATCATTGAGTATGGCAGTAATGCATGCTTGTTTAATATGTCAACACATATCAACATGTGTTGTGTTTTGTGCGTTTAATCAAAAGTGTTTGCCTCTTTGAACAGTATTTTAGTGAACCTGCCCTTCCTTTGGTTCAGTGTCAAATTTTACCTGACCACGCTACTGTGAAGTGCCTTGTAACTTGTAACATCAAAGCTCCCAAACAAATGCAGGTTGTTGTTGCAATAATAAAATAGGTCAAAGTAACATACTGGAACTCTTCTCAATCTTCCGCAGAGAAGGTTAAACGGAGAGTGATATGTTATTGTAATTATAATTCCAGGAACGCAACCAGTCAAGCCGTGACTGAATTTTACAGAAAAATATTACTGTTTGTTTTGACTATTTCAAAGCTACCTTGCTTGTTTCCCATCTGTAGGTCTAGAGTATTTTATGGCTAAGTTATACAGTTCATAGACAGTGAATTTTACCCTCCCTGAAACTTACTTTCCTTCATATCTTTGGATACATTCCATCCAGTCCTCGTGGCATATTAACTTTAATTCCAGCCAGTATATATCTAATACCGTCTGTTAGTTGTTAACCCACCCAGTATCATAACTATCTCTTGTTCCACTATGGCTTCCACAAGTGAACTATTCTCCTCCCAAATTGGGCCTTCCCCAGTTAAGTTCTGTTACCTAGATTGGTCCTTTTGCTTTTCTCCCAACTAACCAAAATCTCATGACACTCTGATCACTGTTCCCTAAATATTCACCTCCTGACACTTGATCTACTGAACCCAACCCACTTCCCAGAACCAGGCTCAGCAATGTCTTCTCCCTCATTGGGCTGGAAAGATACTAACCCAGAAAGGCCTCTTGAACACACTTCAGAAGGATTTCCCCCCGCTCTGCTCTTTACACTGCTTTCTAGTTTTTGCACCTTTGTTTTTTCTCTCTACTGTCTCTTTCTGTTTTTATCTTAGTTCTTGCTCTTAGATAAATAATGCAGAGGACAAACTATATAATATATTCAATCCTGTACCTACTGGATTTCTTGCAGAATTTGAATGCAATCTACTGATACTAACTTGCGTGATTGTTCCTCCACATTTGCTGGGTCAAAGTTCTGGAACTCTCTGCTTAACATCATTTAGCACAGAGACTGCAGCATTTCAAGGTGACCCGTTACCACTTTCTCATAGATTAACTAGAAATGGGAAACAAATGCTGTTCTTATCAGCAAAGCCCTCATTCCAATAGTGAATATTTTTTGAAAAGAATGACTTAACCACAGAAACCTTTCTGCTGCTCTGAGTTCGATGGAATGAATTTAGATTACAGGATCACCAAAATTCTTTTCATATTTCAGCGTCCTGCATTAAAACTAATTTTTATTTTGAAACTTACTCATTTTAAAATCTAACTTTTGTGCGAAAATCCCTGTTACACTGATGCTCCCCATTAGTTGACCTTATGTATGACACTTGGATTAGATCAGATTCATTGATGGTTTGGCAAACAAGCAATAAAGTGATTCTTATACACTCCTAAAAGCACTTCCTTTGGCAGCTCATTCCATACACGCACCACCCTCCGAGTGAAAAAGTTGTCTCTCAGATTCCATTTAAATCTTTCCCCTCTCACCTTAAGCCTACACTCTCTAGTTTTGGACACCCCCACCTAGGGGAAAATACCTTGTCTATTTACCCTATCCATGCCCCTCATGATTTTATAAAGCTCTATAAGGTCACCCCTCAGCCTCTGACGCTTCAGAGAAAATAGTCGCAGTGTATTTAGCCTCTCCCTATAGCTAAAGCCCTCCAACTCTGGCAACATCCTTGTAAATCTTTTCTGAACCTTTTCAAGTTTCACAACATCCTTCCGTTAGCAGGGAGACCAGAATTGCATGCAATACTCCAAACGTGGCCAAACCAATATCCTGTACAGCTGCATCATGACTATACTCAATGCAGTGACCAATAAAGGTAAGCATACCAAATATCTTCTTCACTAACTTATCTACCTGACTCCACTTTCAAGGAACTATGAACCTGCACTTTAAGGTCTCTTTATTCAGCAACACTCCCCAGGACGTTACCATTAAGTGTATAAATCCTGTCCTGATTCGCCTTTCCAAAATGCCTGTTTCCACACTGTAGGGATTCTATTCTATCTATTCTATGCAACACCTCACATTTATCTAAATTAAACTCCATCTGTCACTCCTCGGCCCATTGGCCCATCTGATCAAAATCCCGTTGTACTCCGAGGTAACCTTCTTCGCTGTCCGCTACACCTCCAATTATGGTGTCATCTGCAAACTTACCAACCATACCTCCTATGTTCGCATCCAAATCATTTATATAAGTGATGAAAAGGAGTGGACCCAGCATCAATCCTTGTGCACACCGCTGGTCACAGGCCTCCAGTCTGAAAAGCAAACCTCCACCACCACCCTCGGTCTTCTACCTTTCAGCCAGTTCTGTATCCAAATGGCTAGTTCACCTTCTATTCTGTGTGATCTAACCTTGCTAACCAGTCTACCATGAGGAACCTTATCAAACGCCTTACTGAAGTCCATATTGATCATGTCCACCACTGTGTCCTCATCAATCCTCTTTGTTACTTCTTCAAAAAACTCAATCAAGTTCATTTGTTATAAGTTCTTAGAGAGCTATAGTAACTGAAGTAAACAACATTGAGTAAATGCCCAGGTGTTTGTCAAAAGGAAATAGAATACAGCAATGCCTGGTGAGCAAGAGACTTTAGACTGGAGACAGGGATGACTCTTCACTGAGGTTTCAGTGAATGCAAGATTATTGCTGGATTAAAAGGGATGAATTTTTGATTACTCAAATGTGTTTGTGGAGCTGGGCCTATTGGGAATCTTCTGGCAACACCATTTATTTGGGCACACAGGGTGTTGTTAAAACTGAACCCAAGCACATGAACTGCAGAGTTCTTAAGTTCAACAAACACTGATTCACATAATGGTTTCAGAGATAGTAGGAACTACAGATGCTGGAGAATCTGAGATAACAAGGTGTAGAGCTGGATGAACACAGCAGGCCAAGCAGCATCAGAGGAGCAGGAAGGCTGACGTTTTGGGCCTAGACCCTTCTTCAGAAATGGAGCAGGGTTCTGAAGAAGGGTCTAGGCCCGAAACGTCAGCCTTCCTGCTCCTCTGATGTTGCTTGGCCTGCTGTGTTCATCCAGCTCTACACCTTGTTATTTCACATAATGGTGGCAGGTCTAGATCTCTTATATGTAATGCTGCAATGAAGATATCTATGTTTCCCTTGAGTGGTACACTGTGAATAGACTAGCAATGTCAGATGAGCACATGGGCACTTGCATCAATATGCAAGCCCTGTATGGCCTTTGCAAATGTGAAGGAATCCTTCACTGTGTGTGTGGAATCCTTGTTTAAAATTGGTCACAGGAATTTTCCTAACCATGTGACCAGTTCATGTTGTGTAGAACCAGTCATAGATAAGATT